GTGTGTGTGTGCGTGTGTTTGTGTGTGTGTTGTGGGCAGGAGAGATATGGACAGAGTAGGATAATAAAAGAGGAATTGTATCAGAACTGCAGGCCAACTCAGCAACTCAACAATCTGCTGTGAGGGAGTGAAGTTGTGCAGCCAAATTATAATTATCCCAGAGAAGAGAAGACATGGCTGAAGATTTATTACCCAGCATGAACACTGGGTGGGAGTTGATTAAGAATCTTTGTCAAATTCATCTTTTACTCGCGTTATGATTTGACGGTGTATCTGTAGCACAGAACGGTCGACACGTCGATCAATCAAAATGTCTCTTGTCAATATAAATATATTTAGACACACAGACTGTAATCTGAATAAAACCATCAAAATATGACAAATCATGGCGCGCATACACTCGACTATGGGTAGAAATCTAAATTTGCAATTATTGTGCGCCCACCATTAATCATGCTTTTGTACAACACACAGAGTGTGTATTAAAGTCTGTGTTAAAATAAATAGGTGTCTTAAAAAAACCTTAATGCCATCCCAGTCTAGATCTATACTTGGTCAGATAAGTTGGCGCTCACAACGTATTTCTGTGAATAATCTATTTCTATGCTAAAAAAAGGTTGTTTACCTGAAATTCTACATCTTTGCACTTGCAAAAAGCAGAAACAATTTGTTTTCATCAGTTTAAAAAAGGCAGCTATAATGAACGAAGTTGTTGTATTTCAGTACAGCGCATTTAGTGTATACAAGTTTGTTTTTTGTACATTATCAAAAAGTGCATTTAGTGCATACAAGTTTGTTTTTTGTATAGTGCATTTAGTGCATACAAGTTTGTTTGTTTTTTGTACATTATCAAAACTTTATTAAGAAGAATCACTTAATATTACCTCCACATGTTAACCTGGAGTCACTACATGTACAGGCGTGAACGCCATAAGTCAAATATTCAGAAATGTCCAACACAACACAATGCATGCTACATTTATGCATATTAGGAATTCTGTGCTGTGCCTTTGACCCATTGTCTGAAAGGCCTTGATAATATGTATGTACTAAAATAAACTTTACATTTGCAGCTGGTCACTAATCACTATCACAAATCAGCACATCAATCAGCCTTTCACAGCAGAAACAGCCAGACTTCATGCACCGGGGCTTAAGTGCAGCTGAACACTAACACTAAAATTAGGAATGTGTTTCATCACTGAAAAGACTTTGTCTGAACCCTCACCAGACCTGTGCCCGTCTTCGCAATCCTACACTGAGAACCGTCTGACAATGGCCATGTGAAAATCCAGCGATAAAGAATCCTGGTTTTATGGTTATCATGGCACATTGGTCACAAAAAGGGAAAAGGACCGTGTGTGTGTGTGTGTGTGTGTCTTTAATGTGGGTCACCTCACCATGTCTAATGGCCCCTTGCTGCGTGCCGCGTCCTGCACTGAGCTGCTCCCCGCTGTCACACTCTCGCACACAAACAAACGCATACACGCAGCAGGGGAGAGATTTTTGGGGTGTCCCTCATCCTAATACCCTCAACAATACACCAGCACCGCTGCATCTGTTGCTTCTGTTCCTTAAAGTTATCTGTCTCACTTGGAGTTTGTGTTCTGCCTATAACATACACGCTCTCTCTCTCTCTCTCTCTCTCTCTCTCTGTCTAAACTTGCTATCAGTTTACTTACTAACTACATTTATTTCCTACTTGGACAGAGTTTCATTGTTTATCTAATGCTGCCGTCTCCGCAGGCCTCCGTCATATGGACAACAGTTTAAACTGACAGCAGCTTCCCAGCAGGTGAGCCTCAGCAACACACCAATCCAAAGTACACTTCTGTCTGGTTTGTTGTTGTAATGCAGTGACTATTAGCTGCTGGATGGACATCTGCACAGAGACGTTGGTTTGTCACTTACTGTGCACCACTGAGGCTGAACACAGTCGTATAACCCTGTGACAATCTGGTTGTCTACATGGCCACATGGACAAGGAAGAGAGTTTTAATGTTTATGTGTGTGTATTCAGAGAGAATGTGCATTGTTTTCTCATTAAGATGCTGGTATTGTTAGCTGAGTGTGTGTGTGTGTGTGAGCACGCGCGGTGTGTGTGTGTGTGTGTGTGAGCACGCGCACATGCGTGTGTGTTTGTTCAAGCAGTTAATAGACATTGTAAAACAGAAAGGCTTATTATAATTGTTTGTCCTGCAATTTGATTTACAATTTTCGTAGGAAGGTAGAAGAGAGGGAGGAGAGAGTAGAAGACTGGGGAGAAGGCAGACGAGAGGAGAGGAGTGAGGAGGAGAGGGGAGAAGGGAGAATGGGATAGGAGAAGAGAAGAGAGGAGAGGGGAGGAGAGGAGAGGAGAGGAGAGGAGAGGAAAGGAAAGGAAAGGAAAAGAAAGGAGAAAATAGGGGAGGAGAGCAGAGGAGAGGATGGGGAGAGGTAAGAGAAGGGTATAGGAGAGGATTACAAAAGAAACAAGTTAGAGGAATATAGAAGAAGAGAGGAGAGGAGACGAGAGGGAAGGAGAGAGGACAGGACAGGACAATAAGGAAAAGAGGAGAGGAAAGAAAGAGGAGAAGAGAGGAGAGGAGAAATAAGGACAGTAGAGAGTACGACAAGTGATGAGGGGGATGGGTGAGATACAGAGCAAGACGTGGAGAAGAAAGAAAGAAGAGTGAAAACTGAAGTGATGAGAAATAATGAGAACAGGTTATTCATCAAACTCATGGAAACTGAGACTCCTCTAAAATAACAGCAGCTGAAGACGGCTGCAATGACATCAAGATGTATATGAAACAGACATCAGGAAAAAATGTATGTTCTTCTACACACACACACACACACACACACACACAGAGTATATCTCAGCCACAGAGACGCAGCTACGTCAGTGCATTTTCACACTGCAGCAGCGTCTCTTTGTCTGACTGTCGAACAGCCAGCTGTAAGATGGAGGGCGAGAAATATGCTTTTAGTGGACGACTTTGAGCAGACAACGCTCTGTTTGATAATTGTGTCTGTACGCCATTGTTGGAGTTATTGATTTCTGTCACTCAAATATTTGAACTCCTAACTAACTAAGCTGTTTGGTGTTTCTGTGTTATTTTACTGTTGAAGTGTGAGGCGTTTGTCGTACGAGGGAGACAATGGCGCGAATGCATGTGTGTTCATTAGCATGTCGAACAATGCAGGGATAGTGTATGTGTGTGTCAGTCTGTCAGAGAAAACATCAGTTGATGTTGTGGAAAGGTGTAGAGGAGTTGGGAGGGGGTAACGCAGAGATTTATTTATATATTAATATTTCTGCAGGTTTTAAAATTCGTTTAGTTTCACTGCAGTCAATGGAGTTATTTTTGTATTAAATGCAAGACATCTGGCTGTAGCTGCGTCTCCATTTTTAGCTAGATGTATCCTTTTATTTTCAGTTTTTTTAATTTAAAACCTGTTTTCATTTACAGTGTCCACTCTTTATTCTAAATCCAGCTGTGAGAGGAATCACCTTTTTTAAACTCTTAAATCCAAATGTCAGTGACACACTGCTCAAAGAGAACGGCATTTGACAAAGAGCAAATGTTCATCACTCACACACACACACACACACGTGACAATAAAAAATAAATAAATAAATAAAAAAATAGAAATTGATGTTAGAGGCAGAAGGTATCAGAGCTGCAGAGAATGGTTCAGGTGGATGGAAGGCCTCAGTGTGGCAGAAGGTATCAGAGCTGCAGAGAATTTCAGGTTCAGGTGGATGGAAGGCCTCAGTGCGAACTGTTCCATTGTGTGATACAAACACAAACACAGATGATTTTTTTTCTTTGATTCCAGGTTGGTTCACTGCACTCAGCGGGGGCCATGATAAAGAAACACACACACACACAGACACTATAACACTGTGAACCGCACTGATGGGATTAGACACCACAGATGATCACTCTCTCTCTCTCTCTCACTCTCTCGCTCCCTCTCTCTCGTTCGTTTCCTCGCTCACCCCTTCTCCCTCCTGATCGTGCCAAGCCTTGATTATTCACAAGGTTACTTCTGATTGCCTATAGCAGTGGCAGACACAGGTTCATTATCTCTCTACCACTTTTTACTCTCTGCCTCCCCTCCTTCTTCACTGCAGCATGTTGATGCACAATGGCTGAAGGCGAAGACTTCACCCACACGAGTAGAAATTTTTTATAAAAACAAGGTGCTGCAGAAATACAGAAGTGTCAAATAGTATTTTTTGGTCGTAGTATTTTTTTTATTACAAGGAGTTTTTAATAATTTTAAAATCGTAATTTTTACAGTTCACAGTATTGTAAGGTTGTTCCTATTATTATTATTATTATTATTATTATTATTATTAATAATAATAATAATAATAATATTTCAACTGATCTTTCTATTACACCAATAGGAGATTAGTTACTCTTATTTTATATTTATTTATTTTTGATGAAGGATTTAAGACCCTCGAGCATTATGGTTCTGTTTTTGTTATGAAAAATTGTGATCTGTTTATTTGTGTATCAATATATTATTCATATAATAATTCATATTTTATATTTCGCTCATTGGTCGGGGGCTAGCCTCACATCTGTGGATTTTTTTCCTGGTTGTTTGAGGATGATGTCAGCTGTCAATTATTTTCATAAAAAATACAGCAGAGAAGGAGAGAGAGAAAGAGAGGCGGGTTTGGCAGAATACTGATGACACTGTAAGTGCATATGTGCTAGAGAATATCAGTGCTGCTGCTGCTGCTGCAGGCTTCAAAAGGTAGATGTCACATGGTCTTCTGCTGTCACTGAGGAGCTGCCATTATTAAACCTCCACTGCCAGTGTACATGAGGCTTTCAAGAAATTATTTAGGTCTAAAATTGTGCAACGTGGAGACTGGCTCGACGCAGGTTTTTACTCCTCCTTTTTTCAACACCTCTGTGTTGGATTAAATCCTTCTGATACAGCATTTTATTTGGGCTAACTTTTCTAGCGACTGAAGATTTACTTATTTGTACCTCATTCTTTCGAGACTGTTGGTTTTTCCCTCTGTCCTCGGGACAATGAGTGCGTAGTTGTTGACACATGTTAGTGCAGGCTGGTCTGTCCACACATAAAGGAAAACGCAGCCCCTCCATCAGTATTCAGCCATTTTGTCTCTGTGAGAGAGAGAGGGAGAGAGAGAGGCTTTTGTTAGAAGAGAAGACACCGTGAAAAATTACTCAGACTACAGCCTTCTACCGATGACCGAGGCCTTGACATCCTTTTAATAATAAAAACAAAAAATCCAGTCATCGAATGCATCATTGTGGAGGCTGAAAAAAATTGGTTTAAAATCACAAGAAACCAGAAGGATATATATATAAATATATAGATATATAAATATCTATCTATATATATATATATATATATATATACAAATGTGTGGTTTCAAAGGTAGTGATGCCTGAGATCAGTGGGCCCTGTTGTCTATTGTGTGTTAAGTGGATTAACAGAGCGGTCAGTGAGACAGACAGCCAAAGTGGCAGCCATGGCCGGTGTTTACAAGCTTGTGTCGCCTCACATTTTTCTCCGACGCTCAATCCTTTTCTGCGTCCTTTTAACAAAGGCTGGGTGGAGTTTGTGCAAAATCGTTGTCTAATCTTCTTTTAATAAAAGCACTGGAAGCTAGCACAGGGACACTATTACGACACCTGTTTTAGACCTTAGGGTCTTTGTGCTGTAGTTCGTGAACCAGCTGACTTCAGTTTATTTAACTGTAAAGTGACGCTGCAGTGGGCAACATAATCTGGTTTCTCCGAGTAGCAAATGACACAGAGAGTATGTGCATGTAAAAGGTATGACTCCAAAAGTTGTTGTCATACTGTGTACAGCGAGAGTCACTTTGAAACATTTGAATTTGTTTGATGGCATTGTACTGCAATATTTAAAAAAAAAAAACCTATTGCTGATTTTTTACATTATTTAATAATAATTATAATAATAATAAATAATAACAATAATAATAATGATGTCAAAAGTATCAGTTAGCAAAAAAAATCAGAATTTTATAAATCATGTTCCAAAAGTAATGCATTTATATATAATTATCATTATTAATAATAATCATAATAATAACAACAATAATATAAACTGACCTATACCTTAAATATATTATTTCAGAATAAAATCTAATTCTTGTTCAACACCAGGAATCTTTTTCATTGATTGGTGGAATTTTACTTAGTTAGTGTTGCTGTAAAAACTTTCAGGTGTGCACTAAAACATTTTCCTACAGTGGTTATAAATATTATTGAATTTCATATATTACAGTAGAAAGTCTCAGATACTGAGTATTTCCATTATTAATGATGTTTTTCTTTTAATCATTTTTTTAACAAACCAAGTGTTTCTTCTTTCACATTTGTTATCACGCTGCATATTTCTTATCTGCACAGGTAATAAATGCTCATATGGCTCAGGTTAACAATCAGACTGGAGTCCTTATCTCTAAGTGTTACGTACGTGTTTTTACCTGTACACTTAACCTTGCTGTGACATTATAATAGATGTCAATTATTTAACATCTGATGTAAAGATAGTGTGACTTGTAGGAAAAATATAGAGTCTGTGAGTGGAGTTAAATTAACCCTGTAAAGAGAGAGTCCTTTCAATCCATCAATCTACTTCAGCCATTTGTCTTCTGCCAAGGCCTCTGTTAGAGTGTTTGTGTGTATTTATGTCCAACAGTCGGTGTAAACAAATATGTGTCATTGTGCACTAGCATAAGAGTGCACTATATACATGTGTGCGTTCATAAATACTTGTTTTCTTTTTGTAACCACTTGACCTAGTCAGTGGTAAACACACACGCACACACTCACACACACACACACACACACACATATATAGAGGATCAGTCATGCTAAAGGTCACCCGTGGGCCAACCTGACATTGTTGTCTATAAGCTGCATCAGAGTGAGTGGAGAACTTTAAAGAGGACCACGGGGCCAAACAGAAAAAGAAAACAATTTCTCCTCTGACGTGTTATTCAATACGAGTCGACCATGTTCCGTACGAGAGAGAAGGGCGAGTGAATCGATTCATATCATGTCATTCTCACAATTCAATCTGTTCCAATTATGAATAAAATGAGCGTGTTGATTTGCTAATGAGCGACTATTAACTCTCGATAGGACGGACACAGCAACCTTGTCCTCCTGGATATCGAAATGTCTTCAGGAAAATTGACTTCCCTAAATTGATTAAACTGAAGGTGAACTGGAGCCAGCCGTACAAGATGTTGTTATACGCTACTGAAAGATGATTCGATTAGAATGTGATACAGCCGCTTATGGCAAATTTATTGCTCAAATTTGCTGAGGCGGATCACATTGTAAATATTGAATCTTTGTGTAAATGTTGTGAAAGAATTGTGTCTCCAAATAAGAAATCTGGCCTTGGCTCAGGTTTTAAAGGAATTGTGTCTTAATAAATATCTGATATTTTTTCAAATAAAAATATAATTGACATGTCCATACCATCAAGTACAATTTTTACAGTTTTTATTACAAAAATATTTAACACTTTTTTTAATTAATCCTGCTTATAATTTTTAGTTTTTCTTACTGTTTAACTAAAAGCTGCAAAATATGTAACATTTAGTGACATCACCTTTACCTCAGCTGAAGTTTTTATGTTATTGTTTATTTTAAAAACAAAAAAGCATGTCTGCAGCATTTAAAATACATTTCTGTCTCTTTCTCCCTGCACCAATATTCCAAACCCTCACGGCTTGTTTAAATATTTTTTCCCACAGCTCATAATGAGATGACAATAATATTGACGGCCACTGGATCCTGCTGTGTATGTGACACAAATGGGGAATAAATCCAGATGTGAGTGGCTTTTAATGAGCAGCTGTTAGTGGAAAATCCGAGCGATGAATTACGTTTTAACGGCGTTAAATCTTTAGACTCCAGAATCTCTGTGCACAGATTAATATGAAAATGACACCGTGATACGTGTAATGATATATCAGGAAGCAGCGCAATTATTTAGTACAAAAGCCACTTATAAACAGCATCGTATTGCCTAAAATCCAGAGCATAAACTCTTCTGTCTATCAAAGAGGAAATACAACTTGAAAAAAATGCATTTTTCAAACAGAATAAAACTGCAGCGTTTCCTGTCCCTGGCCTTACTCGTTCACAGACCTGTTATGCTGGTTGTTATATCATGCTTTGCAGTCGAGGTGTGATGGACACAAGTGCATGAAATCTCAGCATGATTTGATAGTTATATCATAATTACACTACTGTGCTGGGCAGCTGTCTGAGGGTTATGGCTGTTTCTGACTCTCAACCGTTCAATTTCCTCATAGCACAAACCAGCAGGAGAGTTGCCTCTCTGTCTGCATAGGCAGCATGCGGGATGGGGGACTTTTACCATGGCAACCACATTTGCAGTATAGATGCAGGCGAGCAAGTAATAATACAGGATTCATGGCAGGCAGGTGAAATGTCGTCCGGGCTCTACTTTTAAATGAGCACAGGAAGCTTTAGATGTCTGCCGTGGTCAATATTAAATCCCTCCTGGCTCTGCTGTAGGAATGAGGTTACCGTCTGCATTAGTGCAGAACCACAGTGTCCTTTAAATTCAGCAGTTTGGGGCCGATAAAGGTCCATATTTATAACAGGCTGGCCCTTTTGGGGGATTTATGTGGGGCTAAGGCCATTTCATTTTTTTTTATGCTTACTCCAGAAATATTGTCAAGTGTCTCCTTCACATTGTTTTCAATATCGGCTTAAGCATCCGATGCACATAATCCTACTGTGGCCTCAGTCAAACATTTTGTCCCCGCTGTGTCGTCTCACCTCTGTCTAATATTTCTGAATCCCTTCTTTACACGTGCCGGATTACAAGGTCAAGTCAAATTCTAGCTGAATTTAGTTACAATTTTTTTATATATATAATCTCCATGTATTCACCTGGCAATGAGCAGAAGGGTAATGAAAAAAAAATTATTAAGAAACGTCAAGATGATTTGCGTCTGTTATACAGGAGGAATTCAGAGTAAAAAAAACCTGGTGCTCTACTCTAAATAATACTTAAATGCCACATATATGAACCTAATACTAGCCTCAATCATCGACTACCATAAATACTGGCTTAATTCTATCAAACATAATGTATGAGACACAAAAGCCTTAGGTCAGTAGCATGAAACCACCCACAATATATATGATGTTTACATTCCTCGATGTGAATTTAGATGAATAACACCCAGCTGTTTGAAAGGGTGCGAGGTGAAGCCTCAGACAGGAAACAGTCGGCCAAAAACAATCACTCACTTCCACACTGTCCCTGTGTGTAGCACTTACTTGACCTGCATTACAACGGCAGTGTGTATGTGTGTATGTGTGTGTGGGTGGGTGAGCGGATATTTGTTTTGTCTGCCCCTATCTATAGTCCCGTCCTGCCCCTTTCTTTCACAGCTAGAGAAAGCAGCCACACCCCTAAGGCCTTGGCCCTGTGTATGTGTGTGTGGCATTCTGCTCTCTTGGGATTTTGGGATTTTCTGTTGCAGTCTTTATTTCTCACAGCCTTAACAAGAGCTGTTTAACAGGCACTTATATACCTACTTTCACCTAATTGTAGCTACAAGTTAAGGCGTTTGTGATAGATTCATAGATTTTTTTTTGTATTAAATCTGTTCAGATCTAAATCCTTGGTGATCCTTCATGGCTGCCACCGTAGAAAAGCTCTGCTTCTAATATAAAGAAATGAAAGCCTCAAATAATGATAACAACAATTGATGCTTTGAGAAAAGAGTTCATTAACAAAATAAAAATTAAATGAATGTCATTCTGACAGGAGCTGGATAACAAATTATTTAACCTATAATTGACAAAGCACATGGGAAATGTACTCTTGGCCTGTGAATTCTCCAGCACCAATTTAATGGGCACATGTAATTAACTTCACAATTAGAAGGTTCTGTAGATTTTTTTTTTAATTTTAGCCTCACAATATTTTTCATCATTAGTTTTGAACAAGAAAGTTTCATTTAACAGCTTCCTTGGCTAATCTTCTCTTCTATATTGTGCTGATATATTTAAAGTCTGTTTCCAGTTGGATGGTTACACAATGAAGCAGGTCACTGCTATTTTAAGGACATTCTGCAAATTTTATTTGGCCGTTATCAATGTCAGTTTGAAAAGTCCTGATCAATATTTTTGTTGTTCTTAACATTTAACTGGAGTTATATGTATCCTAAAAAAAGGATGTGAAAGCTGTTTTAGCTGCATTAAATGAATGACAGTTGTATGTAACAAAAAAATCAACGCATTAAATGAATGACAGTTGTATGTAAGAAAAAAATTCAACTATATGTGAGAGGGAGAGAGAGAGGAAAAGAGAGAAAATGAGTGAGATAAAGAAGGAAAGAGAGAAAGAGAGAGAGAGAGATCGTCAGAAAATATCATATACTGTATGATCCGTATAGGATGGCACAGCCTAAAGGAAACACATATGCATCACCACTACATGCACATATGTCAAAGCAGTCATGCACATAAATTGTACACATAAACACAAACACACACGCACACAAACACACACACACTTTGATACAAACACTTTGAGTTGCCATGAGCCAATAAGAGCAGCGTCTGTATCTGACCTGCGCTTCCTCTGTGAATATAAACCCTGAGGGACACTGAAACCTTCCTGCCTCTGTAGGTTTGCTTATTATTTGTGTTATCCTGGTTTCTGTGTCACTGTGAACTCGTGTACTCTTGTGTGTAGAGAGAAAAGCAGAAGACACACACATATACACACGCGTTTTTTTTTTGTTTTTTTTCAGTCATGCAGTAAATCCAAATGAGTGCCCAAGTCAGTTGGTTGAAATCCAAATGAGTGCCCAAGTCAGTTGCTTGTGTCAAGGTGTGTGTGTGTGTGTTTATTTGCATGGTGCGGTGAGTGACATATGGAGTTCTCACATGTTTGTTTATGTACAGGCCAGGATGAGTCTAAATCTGCTTATCGGTTGTCGGCACAGCTAATTTTACCTTTTCACTTGTATGCACTATAGTGGTTCTCAAACTTTTTATACTCTGTACCACCTGAGAAAACATTGAGCTCTCTGAGTACCACCATGATGACCAACATTAGAATATAGCAGCAGAGGCCTTCACTATTAGCTTCCTATTTCATAATCTCACAATTACCGGTAGCCACACATTTTTTCTAAATGCTGTATCAATTGTGCATGGTATGTTTCAGATTTATTCAACTGAAAATGTAAATGTGAAAATATGAATTTTCCCTGTGTACCACTAGAGAGCACACACGTACCACTGCTGGTATGCAGACCACAGTTTGAGAACCACTGCAATAGGAAGTATTAAATGTAGGGCATACATTATATGCAAAACAAAATTGGTCAAATAAAGGATTCTAATTTAGTGTTGATTTCATGGAGGGTCTTCATGATGTGCAAACAAAGATGTACAATATCTACTCACCAGGTACTGTTCTATGTCTTTCCCTGAACTACAGGTGAAGGTTTCTCCAGTGGACTTTTTCTGGTGCCGCGATGCAACATGAAACGTCCGCTCCAGCTGGAAGACCAAGTGGTGTGTGGGCCCTATGAAGTGGAACATGCAGCAAGGAATCATTGAAGAACCACCGCATGTTTTGGAAATGGAACAATCTGTGTTATTTTAGCACAGCCTGTAGGGTGAGAGGGTTATATCACAAGCATTATGGATTTATGTTTGGCACAATATCCTCAGAATCAATTGAACTGGATGCTTAACCTCACATGTCCTTTAGCTGAGAGTTTTCTTTTAACAAGCTGGGATAGAAAGAATAGAATGTGACCCAGTTTAAGATGCAGCATATCCCTCTATACTGACTTGACTATGTATAGAAAAAAGGTAAAGAATACTGCGTATATATCCTTCCTCGGGTGAGTCATACAGCTCTAACAAAAACTCATTGCAATATTTTGGATAATTAAATACTAATTATATTATTGACTGTGCCAAAATAACCATGTTGTAGCCTGTATATTATAGTTGTTCTCATTCTCTTTTTAAACATTACTTATTTTATTGACACGGAATCAAATATACAGCTGAAGCCGCAACTATTCCATCAATTTACACTTGGAATTTTTGGCTGAGAGTAGAAATATAATATATATAAGTTCAATTTTACACTTGGAATTTTTGGCTGAGAGCAGAAATATAATATATATAAGTTCAATTTGAGTGAGTTGGCATTTGACAAGTCTAAATTGAAACTTTTTAAGGTGTAATATTAAAACCTGTGCGTACAAAACAAAACTGCTTGAATGGAATTGTGTTGTAATCTGATCTCCAGCGTAATCACAGCAACCACAGAAGAACAGCTTCAAAGAAGAACCTTGACAAAGATAACCCGAATTCTGCATGATGGAGGCGATGAGTCACTGGTAAGACTTCGGCAGGCCTTGACAGATCGGATATTAACCCTTTGTTGTAGAACTCTCCACATTTCCACAGGAATGTTTACAATGTGTTGACTATCTGATCATTTTAAAAATAAAACCAAATAGTGATGTTGCTGCACATCATTTACCTGTATTTAGGTAACATAAAGCTTACTATAACTTCCTGAATTTTTGAGAGATTCACAAGCCTTCTTTATATTTTAAACAGATGTTATTAGATTTAGGGCTATAATATGTGATTTTAAAAGCATCAGGGTGATTAACAGCTCCATAGCAACATTTATCTGTAGTTCCACATGTAAACCTTCTGAAGACAGGGTGTTGGCTGTGACTTTGGGGCAACAAAAAGTGATTTAAAACAATTCTGGAAATGTTTAAAATGTTTACGTAAGCCCTGTTGCACAATTGAAAAGCACGTTTCCTGTTATTTAAAAAAAAATACACTATTAAAAAGTACTAAAGAGCTTTACAGGAGAGATGGAGTCTGACTGACTACTTTAAGGACAACATAGGGTTAAAATTCATTTCCCATGCCATGAATGCAACCCAGCCGGTTTACTCTCTTCTAACGAAAACCTTCTTTCCACTAATACATGTTTTGGTGAACAGGCATTATGTTTGCAACCAAGTGTCCCTGTATTTTCTCACAGTCACTTCTGTGACTGTGAAATAAAGTTGAGTCACTACATTTCAGAAATCACAAGTGTACTGTATATCAACTTGACTGACAGCTGTAATTCTCACTGGGGCTTGAAAGGCATTCAAAATACAAAAATAAAATGAATCACTCACAGTTTCTGGGCACTGAGTGTTGCAACCTAATGGCACAGGTTTGACTCACACTCCAGGTGATATGCTTTCACTTACTGTGTTGCCTATGAAGTATTAAAGGACTGTTGCTCTGACTATGTTAAACACCTTAGTCTTTTGGTATTTTTTTCTATTTACGCAATGTTAATGAAGGTTATTGAAAGAGCTCAGGGAAAAATGAAAAATGAGGCTGTTTCTTTTGTTTATCTTGACAATGATACCTGGACAATGAAGGGATAGGACAGTACCTGGCCTTAGTGAAACAGAGAACCTTTTTAAACACACTGCAAGCCCTGATTGAATGGGACTTTCAACGTGTATTTAAATTTTCTACATGGTTTATCAAATCACTTACAACATAGCCAAAAAGAAAGCCATCACAAAATGAATAGCCAAAACCCTGTGATCTTAGAATAAAACTGAGATCATACATTTGCCTTAAAAGGGCCTCAGCTATGCTCATAGATCACTAATAATTTTAATGAATGATTCTGCTGTTTAATAGACCGAGAAAATGGGATTCATCATTATATGCAAAACAAAATTGGTCAAATAAAGGATTCTAATTTAGTGTTGATTTCATGGAGGGTCTTCATGATGTGCAAACAAAGATGTACAATATCTACTCACCAGGTACTGTTCTATGTCTTTCCCTGAACTACAGGTGAAGGTTTCTCCAGTGGACTTTTTCTGGTGCCGCGATGCAACATGAAACGTCCGCTCCAGCTGGAAGACCAAGTGGTGTGTGGGCCCTATGAAGTGGAACATGCAGCAAGGAATCATTGAAGAACCACCGCATGTTTTGGAAATGGAACAATCTGTGTTATTTTAGCACAGCCTGTAGGGTGAGAGGGTTATATCACAAGCATTATGGATTTATGTTTGGCACAATATCCTCAGAATCAATTGAACTGGATGCTTAACCTCACATGTCCTTTAGCTGAGAGTTTTCTTTTAACAAGCTGGGATAGAAAGAATAGAATGTGACCCAGTTTAAGATGCAGCATATCCCTCTATACTGACTTGACTATGTATAGAAAAAAGGTAAAGAATACTGCGTATATATCCTTCCTCGGGTGAGTCATACAGCTCTAACAAAAACTCATTGCAATATTTTGGATAATTAAATACTAATTATATTATTGACTGTGCCAAAATAACCATGTTGTAGCCTGTATATTATAGTTGTTCTCATTCTCTTTTTAAACATTACTTATTTTATTGACACGGAATCAAATATACAGCTGAAGCCGCAACTATTCCATCAATTTACACTTGGAATTTTTGGCTGAGAGCAGAAATATAACCAAGTTCACTTTGAGTGAGTTGGCATTTGACAAGTCTAAATTGAAACTTTTTAAGGTGTAATATTAACATCTGTGCGTACAAAACAAAACTGCTTGAATGGAATTGTGTTGTAATCTGATCTCCAGCGTAATCACAGCAACCACAGAAGAACAGCTTCAAAGAAGAACCTTGACAAAGATAACCCGAATTCTGCATGATGGAGGCGATGAGTCACTGGTAAGACTTCGGCAGGCCTTGACAGATCGGATATTAACCCTTTGTTGTAGAACTCTCCACATTTCCACAGGAATGTTTACAATGTGTTGACTATCTGATCATTTTAAAAATAAAACCAAATAGTGATGTTGCTGCACATCATTTACCTGTATTTAGGTAACATAAAGCTTACTATAACTTCCTGAATTTTTGAGAGATTCACCAGCCTTCTTTATATTTCAAACAGATGTTATTAGATTTGGGGCTATAATATGTGATTTTAAAAGCATCAGGGTGATTAACAGCTCCATAGCAACATTTATCTGTAGTTCCACATGTAAACCTTCTGAAGACAGGGTGTTGGCTGTGACTTTGGGGCAACAAAAAGTGAGTCAAAACAATTCTGGAAATGTTTAAAATGTTTACGTAAGCCCTGTTGCACAATTGAAAAGCACGTTTCCTGTTATTTAAAAAAAAAACACTATTAAAAAGTACTAAAGAGCTTTACAGGAGAGATGGAGTCTGACTGACTACTTTAAGGACAACATAGGGTTAAAATTCATTTCCCATGCCATGAATGCAACCCAGCCGGTTTACTCTCTTCTAACGAAAACCTTCTTTCCACTAATACATGTTTTGGTGAACAGGCATTATGTTTGCAACCAAGTGTCGCTGTATTTTCTTTATTTCACAGTCACGTTTGCAACCAAGTGTCCCTGTATTTTCTTTATTTCACAGTCACTTCTGTGACTGTGAAATAAAGTTGAGTCACTACATTTCAGAAATCACAAGTGTACTGTATATCAACTTGACTGACAGCTGTAATTCTCACTGGGGCTTGAAAGGCATTCAAAATACAAAAATAAAATGAATCACTCACAGTTTCTGGGCACTGAGTGTTGCAACCTAATGGCACAGGTTTGACTCACACTCCAGGTGATATGCTTTCACTTACTGTGTTGCCTATGAAGTATTAAAGGACTGTTGCTCTGACTATGTTAAACACCTTAGTCTTTTGGTATTTTTTTCTATTTACGCAATGTTAATGAAGGTTATTGAAAGAGCTCAGGGAAAAATGAAAAATGAGGCTGTTTCTTTTGTTTATCTTGACAATGATACCTGGACAATGAAGGGATAGGACAGTACCTGGCCTTAGTGAAACAGAGAACCTTTTTAAACACACTGCAAGCCCTGATTGAATGGGACTTTCAACGTGTATTTAAATTTTCTACATGGTTTATCAAATCACTTACAACATAGCCAAAAAGAAAGCCATCACAAAATGAATAGCCAAAACCCTGTGATCTTAGAATAAAACTGAGATCATACATTTGCCTTAAAAGGGCCTCAGCTATGCTCATAGATCACTAATAATTTTAATGAATGATTCTGCTGTTTAATAGACCGAGAAAATGGGATTCATCTAAAATTACAATGTTTGAAGGATTCAGGATTTCTGGCATTGTTTGATCAATTAAGTCTATAAAGCAATCAGTTACTGGAACAAAGATTTTCATAATAATATGAAAGAAAATGGTCTTAATTGTTTTATTTCCTTAACACTAGAGATTAGAAGAAAGATATTTTCGACAGTACAGTTATCCAAAATTTGCTTGTTTACCTTAGGCAGGACTTGCTGAGATTATAAACATAAACATCAATTTGAATGTTTAAAAGAACATGTATTTTAACATGTCAATACTTGAAATTCATATCTTAAATTTTATTTATAAACAGATGCATAGTGTCTAAGTTTTATATTTGTTTCTAAAATACAAATATTAACATCAAACATCTTCCTAGGCAAAATGATTTAATATTACATAGCTATAGTAATATCAATATCAATGTAGCTCTAAACTTCACTGAAGCTGTAACAACATATTAGCTACATTGCTAATTTATTGATCAGACTTTAATTTCAACTAGCCATCTGCTCACAATAGGTCAATCTGTGTACTTAATGACAATATCTTTAAATGTGCTGTATTTGTCTACAACCCAAACTTATTTGGTTTACTGAAATCAAATAACTTAAGTTAAAAAATAACTCAAGTTGTTAGCTTGAGTTACTAAGATGATTGATGAATTGTTGCAGTACTACTGTTTAAGTTACCAAGCTGAAGTGACTCGTCTTATTTTGCTATTAAACAGATGGCCTTTCAATTGTGGACACCTTAGTATTTCTAAAAAACAGAAATTGAATTTTCATATTTGTGTTGTTCTTGGTCAGATACTTAATAAATACCTGTGTAATGAATCAGAGTCTAGAGTTAGAATTGACCACTGTAGCTGCTAATGTGGACAGGCTGAAGCAACTTCTTCAGTTTTTGCTTTGTAAATATACAATTCACTCCTGGTGTTGTGGTCTAGTACATCACTCAGATTCTGCCTGAGCTGTTCATTTGCATCTTTGGAAGAGGACGAATATTAAAATAAAGATTTTTGAACAACTTTACGTTACCTTTTGCGTCTCTGTTTACAGGTGAAGGCCTTTCTAAGTCCTCGAGACGGCTTGGGAATCAGATTTCCTTTTTCTAGGCGGCCGGAACTTCTTGAAGTTGTGTATTCCTACTCTCTTGGCGGAGACAATACTATGTGGTTTGATTTACATTACATAATCTATTAACACTTACACATGGTACAAATAATATACAAAAATACAATAGATTCACATTTAGAAACCCTCTGTAGTGTGGCTGTAGCTTAACGTGGGCTCTAGCTTTTCTAAAACGCGGTAGAATATGTGACGACTTAAGGTGTGCTTCGAACTATATATATACCGCCGCCATCTTACATTTTTCAGTTTCTCCTAGCCTAGTCAACGCTGCGGGCATAAGAGGGAGTGGACGATAGCTCCCGCAGACGCTCAGCTCTACGTTTTCCTCGACTTTTCACTCCTATTTCCAAGTGATTTTACTCTCCTGGATCCAAGTGGACGGAGTTGCTTTTACTGACAAGGGTAGGCTTCAATTTGTAAACTATCTACTTCACTTTTTTGCCCAAAATCCTGGCAGGGATCTGTTAATTCGATGAGAAGGAATGAAGACCGTTGTTGTGTTGGAGTCGGTCGGGGATGCTGCTGCTGTTTTCACCGCAGCTACTGTATTTGGTAGCTGCCGGTCTCCACCTTACAAGGAGAAATGTATTACACTTAAAGCTTTTTAAAGAATGGGTGGAAAAGTAAATCTGCGTTTGGGTTAACGACATGTGAAAGTGTTTAATTAGTTTTCGCCGTTTTTTCTTTTTTTCGCCTAAGCTTATTCTTGATTTGGGAGTTAATGTGTCCTGGCTCGTTTCGGTAGTTAGCTTTACTAACCCGCAAGAGCTACGTTTCGTTAGCCTAACTACGGTTAGCACAGTTAACCAACTGCTCACGTTGGATCGGCTTTTTCCAGTCTGATATTTTACAGCTGTTAAAAACAAACAGCACATTCCATTTTACATATTAAAGTACATATGTATTACTATTGTGTTGTGAATCCACATTTTGATTGTGTTCGGAATAACTTCGTCATAAACTATTTACCGTCGAGTAGCTCTGGAACATTTAACACTGGACTGATTTTTTTTTTTTTACAAAGTTCACTTTAAACTTTCCTGCAACCGAAAAACGTACTGAAACGCGTTAATATTGACATTCAAACTCATAAGCACAACAACTATTAAGTGATGGGGTCGGTGTTGTATGCTTTTGGCTGTGTGCTTATCATTTTTTCTAACCGTGCTTTTTAAACAAAGACCGACACATTCCGGTGAGCCGCTGTGTGCTGAGGAAAGAAGACGAGGAGGAGCCAGCGAGTGAAATCTGAGTCAGAGCTGGAGCACAAAGTCAAAGCAGCTGTGGAGAAGTAGGGTCGTGCTGAACGTTTGTATGGTTGGTTGTGTTTAAACCGTGCGGCAGTGTAACATACGTCGGGCGCTCGTGTTTTTGTACGTCTTTCGCGGCGCAACCAGATGTTTGATTGCTTCTCAGCTCGAAATAGACCAACAAATCACTGCAGTGGGTTCAAAGTTGGACTCATCGCAGCTTTTCGACACCATGAGAGATTATTTTGGTACTTTTCAAATGTTTTAGACTCGTGAATATTGTCTTGTAAAACTCGATTATTTGTGTAAACAAGCTTGAGCTGAACATGAATTTATTTTGGTAAATTTGAGCTGACTTTAGTAGTCTGTAGTTTGGCTTCCCTATATTTTTGCATCTCAGAAGCTCGACAAACAAGCAATAGTTAATTCGGAAAACTGCCAGAGGTTTATCAGTTACTACTCTTGCTTTGTCGTGTGTAAAATAATCAGTGTTTGCGTTTCATATTTCATCGAAATCCCCAAATAGTATGCAATGGAAAAACTATTTTGACAAATGTTTTTTTTTTTATCAGCAAGATTTTTTTTAGCACGGAAGCGGGCGTGTAGCCTACGTCTAAGAGCCGGTAGTGGTATATTTTGTGGTGATCACTTGCTGGAAGGCTGCTGCAGTGAACATTTTCTTAGGTATTGCCATTACCTAATGGTGATGGTTATAGTGATTCCAGATTTCCGTTTTTGCCTGCTGACCTGCTGTTATTTATTGTAGCACATTTAAAATGCTTAAAAAATATCAAAATGAATAAGACAAGGAACTTGGTTCCACATTTTATGTTTTTTTTTTTCCCCTGACATTAAGATCTAGGTTAGTATACAAATTTAGAACCTGTGGTGTTTTCAGGGCCTCCTGTTCTCCATGGGCATCTTGTTTTTGTGCAGTGGAGACCCAGACCAGACACATTGCCAGAAATTGAGCTCATTGTGTTGTTGGCAGCCAGCACACAGTGCTGCTGACCCTGCACATTGTGTACACTGAACACTGAAGCCTATGGCAGCCTCTTGTCTCTCCGCTAACTCTGGAAATAATGGCCTATATGGGTCATTAGCTTATATAGATAGGTTTGGGGCATCGTTTTTTTTGTAACTAGAAAAGTGTGGTTTAGATTAGATTTATTTCGACTCTTTTGGAGGGTCCATTTCAAGGACAATAATACATCTTCCAAATTATTTTGCAAAATTATCGACGTGTAACTATATGCACTCTAGTAAAAAAAAATCCCGAATGTTGAGCAGTATAACAAATTTAAAGAGATACGTGCAGTGGTCTATTTTTGTGAAATTTCATTAGGATACTGTTTTCTATAGTAAATATTGACCTCACTTAAATTTCTATATCTGCATCATGTTTGTTGACAAAGTGTCTTTTTTGTTTTTTGTCTTGACATGGTTTCTCCTGAAAGGAGAGTTTTAATCTCAGCTGGATTTTAAATCAGTCAATTAGATTAAATATAAAATATGCTTTTCGGACATGAATTTTCTGTACAAAAGAAAAGCAACCAGCAATATATGTTGGGGTTTCAGTGTTTAAAATATGTAAATGTTTTTAATTATTTTTTTAAATTGTTGCTGTTATTCTTGGATGATTAAATACCAAAAGGAAGATCTGATTATGTAGGCTTAACTTTTAAATTGTAATTGACACCTTTATTTACGACCAGTCTCTGATAAGTCCCATATAGGAAACTTTGATATTAAGTAGAGGTAATTTCATGTTTTGTAGCATTTTCAAATAAATATTCTAATTATTGCATTCTACCTTTTTTTTCTGCCATACATTTACACACTTGAATAAAACCACCCTGCCTGCAGAAACACAGGAACATATAATGTTCTATGTCACATCATTGACATTACTAAACTCAGGGGTCTTTCCAATTCCGGAGGATGTGTATTCTGCACAAAACAAAACAACCATCTGACTCATTTAACTAGTGTCACCCATTAGTCATCTGGTTTCTGTCATATGGCTTAAAAAGGACCAAGCACCAATCTACATATGGGATTTTTCATGTGGCTTCAAAGCAGCCTCTCTTTTAGATGTGAGGTTTGGCTACTGGCCTGACATCTATGAACCTTTCCTGTAATGACTATTTTGTATGTGTTGATGGTCAGAGTCTGACTTTGGGGTAAGGCTGCCATTTGTGCTTTTCAATTGAAGACCAGACTTTGTGTTTGGTCATCAAAAAAACTGCTCAGTTTCCAAAGCCAGACATAAACAACCACATTTTCCACCAGCACAAATGATAAATGGTTTCACTGTAGACTTTGATTGTGTGCTTTTCTCTTTTTTTCAGCCCTGTATGGGGCATATGGCTCCCATTAGGGCAGGGCTGGGTTATGCGAGGGCAGGCCTGCAGAGCTCTGGAGGATGGCGTGTGAACAGTGAATTTGAGTTGGTGTGTTTGTGGTTAGAAGCAGCAGTTTTGGAGGCTGACTCAAGACAGTTTAATGACACAGCTGAGGCGGGTGGCGTGGGTGTTAGTGGAGGGATGTAATGCAGTGCAGCAGTTAAACTGGCCTTAATGTATTTGCATATCCCAAACTATTCAATACTATTAACTCCCACACATCTGCTGCTGTAGTTCCAAACTGACTTTTTTCAAACACTATGCCAAACATTTGTCTTTTCTTTGCTCTGTTTACTTCTGTATCTATTTCTTGTGGATCCCTGCTTTACCACAAATTTGGTTTTGATCCTTTTGTTTGAAGATCTGATCGCAGAGGAAAATAATTTGTCTAACATAACTGAAACTCAGAACAGTTGTGATGTTTTGGCAATGCCCTTACATATGCGTTACTTTGAGAACCTGAGACATGTTGCCTCAGGGTCAGTGTCCCTTTAATCTGAACATCAAATATAGATGGATCATACTGTATATGTGCAAATTACTGTAGTGAATTGTTACATTATGTATATGAAAACTAAAATTTCCATTTACATCATTTGTTGGCATGGATATTTTATCATTTGTTACATCATGAATGGCCCAGGTTTGGTGTCACAATAGATAAGTCCTTGTACTCTTGTAGCGTGTACTGTAAGTACTTCTGGTATTCTTCATTTTATATTGCAGATGTGAGAAAACAAGCTGCCAGTGTTTTGTACTCATTCTCTAGATTTTCTTGGTCTCCTACCACTTTTGTTTGTTTCTCTACATGTCTTGACTGGTTTGCCGTGACTAGATGGGGTTGGGTCCACATTTTTGTCTGTGATTCAACAGTGAGTAACCACAGCTCTGCAAGGGTGTTTCTGACTAAGGAAACATAATTACAATTTCAAACTCATTCTTTATTAAATATTTCCTTTGTATGTTATAACCATGACATTAGCTTTAAGTTTAAATAAACAGTTTCAAATATGCTTGTGGCTCTGGTTAAATCCATCCCTGTCTTGGTAGTTTTTAATTTTGCAGTTTCATCTTCAAAGCCACTGCAGGAATGTTTGCCTACTGCCTCTCACTCCCCACCCAATGCTCAACTTCCCTATCCTTCCTCACCTAAATAGTTGCTACAGTAAATGGATACTTTGTGTGAGAGCTCCTGCTGCTTGCATGGCTGCCTGGAACTGGGGACATTTAAGGGATGGGGTCACAAGTCTGGCTTTTTTTCTCAAAACAGGCATTCAATTTTAGGTCTATTTAATTACCTTAAATATGGCTGTTTGATTACATAGAAAGAAAAACATTAGAAATTGGCTGTTTGATTACATAGAAAGAAAAACCTTAGAAATTAGCACCGCAGATGAGCAATATGACTTGAGTCTGAAACTAATTGTGCCATTATTTGTGTTTCAGATCAGGAAGCTGTGTCAGTCGCAGTGTGAGAACAGAACATGGCTTCCCAGGGTGAGTTGATGTTTTTCAGAAACTCAATAATACAAATCTTACAAGAAGGATTTTCAGTTGTGAGATTAATGTAATTTGTAATCAGTAATGTGATGACAAAGGCTAATATACTTTCTGTAATTTAATATTTTCTTATTAAATTATGCCTTGCACAAAGTTCACTGCTTTGATAAATTGTTGAACGGTGTCTTCGCTTCTATTCACTTATAATGTTTTGTGCTTGCAGCTGATCTGATGGAGCTGGACATGGCCATGGAGCCTGACCGTAAGGCAGCAGTCAGTCACTGGCAGCAACAGTCCTACCTGGATTCAGGCATCCACTCAGGGGCCACCACTACTGCTCCCTCTTTAAGTGGAAAAGGCAACCCTGAGGAGGACGATGTGGACAACCAGGTCTTGTATGAGTGGGAGCAGGGCTACAACCAGAACTTTTCTCAAGAACAAGTACAAGGTGAGCCACAACCCACAGCTGCTCATTAAATTTAAAGCTTTAACCAAGCAATAAACAAAATCTTAACAAAACCCCTTATTGATCTCTTGAAGACATAGATGGACAGTATGCTATGACTCGTGCACAGAGAGTGCGTGCAGCAATGTTCCCAGAGACCCTGGAGGAGGGCATGCAGATCCCTTCTACACAGTACGACGCAGCGAACCCCACAAATGTCCAGCGGCTGGCAGAGCCTTCACAGATGCTTAAACATGCTGTGGTCAATCTGATCAACTACCAAGACGATGCTGAATTGGCAACTAGAGCCATTCCAGAACTTACTAAACTACTCAACGATGAAGACCAGGTAGGTGTCATGAAAGCTGCTCACTTTCAGGCTCGGGAGTTTTTTCCTCTACTACAGGATTTCTTTTTCTGTCCTACAGGTTGTAGTAAACAAAGCTGCAGTGATGGTCCACCAGCTTTCAAAGAAAGAAGCTTCTCGCCATGCTATCATGCGCTCCCCTCAGATGGTGTCTGCTATTGTCAGGACCATGCAGAATACAAACGATGTGGAAACAGCTCGCTGCACTGCAGGGACACTGCACAATCTGTCCCATCACAGAGAGGGTCTGCTGGCCATCTTCAAGTCTGGTGGCATACCAGCTCTAGTGAAGATGCTAGGGTATGTGCGGGGGGGTAAAATAAATTTCTTTTAGTACAGAGGTGAAGAAAGAGCAGATATACTTTAGTACAGAGGTGAAGAAAGAGCAGATTTTAATATATCTAGTAAATACTAACCTCCTGACATGTAACTGACCTCGATCTGTCTGTTTTATAGTTCCCCAGTGGACTCTGTTCTATTCTATGCCATCACCACCCTCCACAATCTCCTGCTGCACCAGGAAGGGGCCAAGATGGCTGTGCGTTTAGCCGGTGGACTCCAGAAAATGGTGGCTCTCCTCAACAAAACCAACGTAAAGTTCCTGGCCATCACGACTGACTGCCTTCAGATTCTGGCATATGGCAACCAGGAAAGCAAAGTAAGTAGTAAAACAAGACCCTCCCTTTTGGTGGCTCTTGGTGAGCAGCACAGTTTAATTATTTGTTCTTTTGTCGATAGTTGATAATCCTGGCCAGTGGTGGCCCTCAGGCGCTGGTGAACATCATGAGGACCTACACTTATGAAAAGCTGCTGTGGACCACAAGCAGAGTTCTCAAAGTGCTGTCAGTCTGCTCCAGTAACAAGCCTGCTATTGTAGAAGCTGGTATGTCTTAAAGAAAGACTGTACAATTAAATTAAACATTTTTCGGTATGTCTTAAAGAAAGACTGTACAATAAAATTAAACTTTTTTTTTACTTCTACTTTTTTTTACTTGTTTATGTTATGTTGACTAATTTCTTTATATCCGTCTCTCTGTCCAGGAGGTATGCAGGCTCTGGGGCTACATTTGACAGACCCAAGCCAGAGACTGGTCCAGAACTGTCTCTGGACTCTCAGGAACTTGTCGGATGCTGCAACCAAACAGGTGAGGAGAACAGCCTGTTACGTCCTGAGCAGATGGTGGTGTACGAGTAATTTCCTGCAGTCTCACATGAGTACTTTTTTTTTTTCCTCTGTAGGAGGGAATGGAAGGTTTGTTAGGAACTCTGGTCCAGCTGCTGGGCAGTGACGACATTAATGTAGTGACGTGTGCTGCTGGCATTCTGTCTAATCTGACCTGCAACAACTACAAGAACAAGATGATGGTCTGTCAGGTCAGTAGTTACTGTGTACTTTACTTTTCCATTTTCCCTAGACATTTAAACTGTTGTTGGAACAGTAAAAGAAAGTGACTATGTCTGTTAAACTGTCACACTCACTGTTCCCCTGTAGGTTGGCGGTATTGAGGCATTAGTGCGCACAGTGCTCCGGGCAGGAGACAGAGAAGACATCACAGAGCCAGCTATTTGTGCCCTACGTCACCTCACATCTCGACACCAGGATGCTGAAATGGCACAGAACGCCGTGAGACTGCATTATGGCCTGCCAGTAGTTGTCAAATTACTGCACCCTCCATCACACTGGCCACTCATTAAGGTACACACACAGACACAGACTAACAAGCAGCACTCTGTCACATAAGCTGCTCCTCACACTGCCAGAAAGTCATTTGGCTTATTTTCTTTGTGGCTTTTCTCCTAAAGCATTTTATACATGACTAGACACAGAAGCCAAAATAATGGGCAAAACTGCCTTAAAAGGCACAGTCTTCTAATGTAGCTGGCTGCTAACAAACACTAGCTGCCGTATTTCCCCACGGATTCTCATTTGGCACTTGATATACTGAAATATATTAGGAAAATGCCCAGACCAGTTCTGCTGTCACTAGAGTGTCATTGTGGTTATCCAAAATAATAACTTTACTTTTTGTACAGATTTTCACTTAACAAAAACAACCCACCCATATTTTGTGAGATTGTAAAAATGGGCCACAATGTATTTTACAGCATTGAAATATAAACATGACTTGTCAGGTGTAAAATTAGGGGCTTGGGTCCAATGACTAATTAATGCCTTTTTTGTTTTTCTATTAGGCTACAGTTGGTCTGATTCGTAATCTGGCACTGTGCCCTGCGAACCACGCTCCTCTCAGGGAGCAGGGAGCCATTCCCAGACTGGTTCAGCTGCTGGTCAGAGCACACCAGGATACACAGAGACGCACCAGCATGGGAGGAACACAGCAGCAGTTTGTGGTGAGATATACACAGAAGTCAACATATGGAGCAGGCAGTTCAGTTTTATGTGGTTGCATGACTGTGGCTTACCTTGTGTGGTTGTTTCTTAAAGGAGGGAGTTCGCATGGAGGAGATTGTAGAGGGCTGCACTGGAGCGCTTCACATCCTAGCCAGAGATGTCCACAACAGGATAGTCATCAGAGGACTCAACACTATTCCTCTCTTTGTACAGGTAAATTGCACTTTAATTCATGAATATTATTATAATATCACATTAAGATTCCTACAGTGTTTGTCATGTACAGTGTAAAGTGAAAACAGTTTTTATCTGACCTTGCTAGCCTTGAGGCATGGGAATATGGTCTGCCGCAGCGCAGTGTTTTTTTTTCTTTTCTTCTGAGAATCCTCTGTTTGTGTGTGCAGCTGTTGTATTCTCCCATTGAGAACATCCAGCGTGTGGCAGCAGGAGTCCTGTGTGAGCTGGCCCAGGACAAAGAGGCTGCTGAGGCCATCGAGGCTGAAGGAGCCACCGCACCATTGACAGAGCTGCTGCACAGTCGCAACGAAGGAGTTGGTACGTCCTTTACATGTTTATCATCGTCTCTTCTGATTAAAAATAAAATATGTTGTACAAATTGTTATTCCAAATGTTAACTGTAAAAGAATGTAGCCAATATCAAAATACTCCTCTTTCCTCAGCCACCTATGCTGCAGCAGTTTTGTTCCGTATGTCAGAGGACAAACCTCAAGACTATAAGAAACGTCTCTCTGTAGAACTCACCAGTTCACTCTTCAGGACAGAGCCAATGGCCTGGAATGAGGTTCGTACATGCAGAAAAAAATGTTCATTTTGAATAAAGTGCTGCTCCTGTGCTCATCCTCATCAACTCTTGCTTTGCTTTCCAGACAGGAGACCTGGGTTTGGACATTGGAGCTCAGGGAGAGCCTCTGGGCTACAGACAGGACGGTAGGTCATCTCACCTCTGGCTGACTGACAGTAACACAAGACAAGTCGTGAATATAAAGAATGGTTGGCCAACAAAGTCAGGGCTGCCGTTAAACTGACTGACCGGCCGTCATCACTCCGTTCTGAATAATTCTGTCAAAAGTAACTGATACACAGATACCACTGCGGTCAGTGGAGTTTATGAAGCTGCAGCGTGTAACTATTAAATATAAATAAATGTCCATCCTGTCCAAGGTGGAGTGAAACAAGATGCATAATGCAGACCCTTCAGTTCTACACTGGGCTTTGTGATTATTAACATGGCAGTGGGTTAAAGTAATGTCTCTTACTGAGATGGAGGCAGAGATTTAAAAAAAAAAAAATGGAGGCAAAGATTTAAAAAAAAAAAAGTCTTGTATCTGCAGACAAGATAAAGGTCGATATAGTTTTTTTTTTTAACCATAATTGTTTTCAGTTTCTTTTTTTTAAATTATTATTATTACTCTGAATGTAGTTTTTAGAAATACAGCTTATTTGTATTCCCACAGATGGTTGTAAATGTTAGTTGTAGATAAGGGCTGATTAATAAACCTAGGTGTGTTGGTGTGTTTGGCTGTCTATTCAATACAGTAGAGTGCAGTTGTGTGCCGTGTTGCCGTGTGTTGTAACGTTGAAATGATCGTACTACTGTGTGGCTGCTTGATTTTGTTAACCTGCTCCTAACAACTGCTCTGCTTCCCCTGCTCCTCCTCCTCCTCCTCCTCCCCCGTTCACTCCCTCAGACCCAAGCTACCGCTCCTTCCACACGGGAGGTTACGGTGGAGACACGATGGGCATGGAGCCCATGATGGATCATGATCTGGGAGGCCACCACCCTGGCCAGGACTATCCCCCTGTGGATGGACTGCCTGACCTGGGACACTCCCAGGAACTGATAGAGGGTTTGCCACCTGGTGACTCCAACCAACTGGCCTGGTTTGATACCGACCTGTAAATACCAAGACCAACATTACACTACTTTCTACTAGGTAAGTTTGGATATGGTACTATGTGGTGGGAATATCATTTCTGGTGAAGCTACTTAATATAATATGCAAACTGCCCAGGCTTTTTGTAATATGTAAAGATCAGTCATGTCTTAGGTTGACAGATATGGAGTGGTTTTTGGGGAGGGGGGACAACAACTGGGAGGAGGAGAGTTGAGTTTACTCACAGAGGCTGTGGCATGATCTCACTGCTCTTAACTGTAAAGCTTTGCTGTGGTTTTGTGTGTGTGATCTGTGTGTGAGGTCTCTACCCTGAACTCATCGCCCACCCCCACATTTGACCACATTCTGCTTTGGATTTTGTCACTAATTTTTTTTTTTTTTTACTCTCCCTTTCGCAGCTGTATCATGTGATCTGGATGAACCTGCATCGTGATTCGCCCATATGGAGGAGGAGGCGGGGTCTCAGAAAGTGCCTGAAGATGACTCAACAACAGCAAGCAGAGTTTCCTGTCTATGGAAACTCCATTGGGACAAACAAGACTAATGTGCAGTTCTGTTCTGGTCTCTCTGCCTGACAGGAGGCTGACATCCAATCCTGACGTGACACATGGATTTTGATCAACAGTTGATTCTTTTCAAAACACCTTTTAAAACATTCTTTCTTTGAACCTCTTCTTTTGGTTTTTTACCTTTGGTTGTTTTATCTTTGTTTTTTCATGTCTGTAATGGTACAAACTTATACTGGTTTGCTCTTTTTTTCTTTTACTCTGAATTTTATGATATTTTGTTTTTTGCAGTCCTTTGTATTTTTAAGTTAGTTTTTTTTTTCTTTCTTTTTTTAGTGGTATTGATCCATCCAAGTAAAGAGTCTGATCACATTTTAAGTGGTGTCCAAACACTAAAGTTAATCAGTTGAATTGTATTCTGATGATAAAGAAGTGTAACATTGTGTAGCTTTTGTATAAAAAACACAAATTGGTAAACATGGTCCAAATATCAAGCTATTTTCTTGCTTTAAAGGTGGACACTGATGTCTTTGCTGTTCCAAAGGGAGCATAGCTGACCTAAGATGGACGGGTGTGGCTGTGAACTGACAGGGCCGGAGTTTGGTTTTTACTGGTCCACTGTTACATAGGGGAGGGGTAGTGGGAGGAGCTGGTTGCTGTAGCCTGCTGTGTTCTGAAACAATAAAATGGACTGTCATTTCACCTGGACGCCTCCATGTCTTATTACACTTCCACACAAAAGACCAAACACCACAGGTGTGTGTGTGAAAGAGATACTGGTTTTCACAGAGGAACTGGCAGAATCTGTTTGTAGAAATTAGTTAATCAGACAGGAAAGGTAAATAACAACTGCAGCACGGACCCCGTTTCATTAAACAACAGCTGGGCAGCCAAATGTTAAAAAAAATAAAAAAACTGATCTGACTGTGAAACAAGTGTCCACATCCACCTGCAGGGACAATGTTTTGGCAGGAAGCCACTTCTGTTCACCGTCATCCTCACATTAAAATGTGTCCTTGGTTTTCCCAGGTTGAACTGGTTGGATGATATTTGACAGCTGTGTTTGCTGCAGCTTTAGGGAGATTAGTCAGATTTGCATATGAAATTAGAGCCTGCAGTGAAGAAGTAAGAGACTGCCAGCAGTGACCACAACTGCTGTGTCCAGGATTTTGTTTTTCTTTTTTTAAATCCAAAGGACATGGTGCTGAAGGACAGATGCAGGGACTGGTGTCTCAACACTGCAGGGAGAGACATGCTCATTATTGTGTTAAACCAAGAAAATTCCAATTAAATGTTAAATGTCCATAAATCAGTCACTTACCCGGATATTAAGTACCTAAGAAATGATGTATTTTCATGGATCATAACAGCTGAGTTTTAACGAGGTCAACTTCAGACATGGTCAAGCCTAGACATTTGGGTCTAATATTATTTATGTACTGGTGAATACTGCAGACATTGGTGCAATTTTAAACTGTCCAAACTGTGGTCCCTCAGTGGCGTCTGATTACCAGCAGCATCAGTTTGTAACAGAAACAGGAGAAAAGTTGGCAGTAAGAACAGTGTTCTAGCTGCTCTCTAATGCTGACCAGAGCTGTCCAGACAAATCCACAGGTCAAAGCTGGGTCTCTGGGACAGTGGGACTGGGACACCGGAGCTACAGTATAATGTTTTGTACTGACAGAGACTGGATCGCTTTTTAATTTAACCCTTAAATTATGGCAGTGACAGGCTTCAACACTGTTATTTAAACCCTTAAATTATGGCAGTGACAGGCTATCGTTCAACACTGTTATTTATTCTATTGGTTATAGAGATGAGATGAATGGATGGTCAGAACTTCAGGATCAACATCATACAGTGTTAAACCATTGATATTCAGGTCAGCTTTTAACACTGACACTGATTTTATATAAATGTCAAAAGGCAGGTAATACAAGAACAAACATTAACTCCATAGTGAATTTAGAAGCTGCTGATATGAATGTCAATGTAATACAAAATGAGATTCAGAATATTAAAGAAAGTTTACTTGACTTGTGGTGGTAACTATTTACACAGGGTAGACTGATGTCATCTGGTTTGAAGAGTCACGGAATCTACAGTCTAGAAATCTCCATGACGATTTCAGTAGCCAGTTGAATAACATCTGCATTAAACCTGTTGTGAAAAGAACAAAAATAATATTTTCACTTTTTCGCTGTGTTTCTTGGTGACAGAATAAAAAATTTCAACAAGTGCTAGCACTTCTTTATAAAGTCAGGAGCGGCAGACAAGAATGTGAAGGTGGTGCAGGACGTTTTTAAGTGCAGTCAAAGTGACTAATGGGAAGTTAACGCAGTCACTGCAGCAGCTGGGTGGAGACTGGGTGTGGTTAATATTAACTACTCTGTCTGTGGTGTTGTGAGAAACTCGCCTTAGAAAATGTCAATAAAAAGGATCAGGCTCATTTCTTTTAGAATGCCGTAGGAGATCGGTGCAGAGGCGTGTCTATGCGGACTCAGCTGCTGAGTGGATTAAATGAAGAAAGTCTCTGCTCAGAGCTGCACTTACTGAAGTGACTCTCAGTCTGATTAGAGCTGCTGCTTTTTTCTTCTTTTTTTTACATTGCAGCTCCAGTTAAAGATTTACAGTTCATATAAGAAACATAACATACAAATATTCCTGACGCCACTCGGTCCACTATGAGGTTTCTACCTCTTTTCTCTGATTTAAAAAAAAAAAACATTCTTATCTAGTCCCTGCCTCACAGGAGCAGTGAACTCACTCCTGCTCCCTGTGGCTAATGACAACATAAATAACTGCCCTAAAAGCTGCGGAAATCCTTGGAAGACTATAGAAACTGGAAAAACAAATGGCAGAACCCACTCCAGAGTTTTGCTAACATCCCCCAGCTACAGCCGAGTGGACAGCGCCTGTGGACCAGGAGGAAGATGAGACCGGGCTTGTTATTGATTTTGGTATATTTATGATTAAGAATCCGGCGAGAAGCTACAGGCTGCAAAATGACTCACAGCTAAGACCTGATCTACTGAGGCACGGAAATAAAGTGCTACGGTCCGTACCCACATCTGCACCCCCACTGAAGGAGGTTGTTTTGGGTTTTGGTTGTTGTTGTTTTTTTTGCTTTCCAAACATCAAAAATAATCCATACATACAATTATGAGTTATATTAAATAACACATCATTAGAAATGACTAAATTTAACTGTTCCTGAACATCCTGATAGCAAGTGGTTTAGAAATGCTAACTAATCTGCTAACATACAGTCCTAGGGATTTATTTTAACAACAGATCTGTCCTCTGACATTTTTCCTGATGGCTCTGTGTTTGACTTCAACAACTCAGACAATGACCTGAGGGCCAGGTTTTGGGCCTCACCCATCCTCACCCCTCCCCCTTCACCACACTCCATCACTCTTGTTTTTTTTTTCTTTTTTGGAAAAAAGCATTCCTCAGGTTGCCATGGTAAAGTCAGAATGACGTCACCTCAGCTCGGACCTTCCTGCTCTACTTCGTCTCCTCGCTCCGCTCCACCTCCTCATTCCCTCAATTAAAACCCATCCTCAAATAACGCCCCCCCCCCACCACCTCCGTTACTCTCCCCGTAACTCCTCTCATCTCCTGCCCTTTCTCCGACAAACCTCTGCTCCCCCCTCCTCCCCTCCCTCTCCTACTACTAAACCAGTGGGAGTGTGCCAGTCTGTGCTACTTCAAAGCCGGAGCAGATCTATGCTTTCATCTGCCTGAGAGGAAGAGGAGAGAGGGGAAAGAGGAGAAGAGGAGGAGAGGGGGAGAGGGGGAGGAAAAGCAAGGGAGCAAGAAGAGCAGGAGAGAAAGAGAGGGGGAGACGGAAGTGAAGGAAATAAGGAAAATTGAGAGTGGGAGTGGTGTAGAGTGACAAAGGGAGAAGAAAGGAGCCAAGGGGAGAAAAGAGGGCGAGGGAGAGAGAGGGAGAGAGGGGGAGAGAGGAGGACAACAATACACCTTTATTACTGATCTGACAGGTTGTGTGGATGAGAAGGCAACTGTTTGTGTGTAAGCTTATACCCCAACTCTCTGCATGCTTGTGTGTGTGTGTGTGTGAGACTGAGAGGACACTCGTCTCGTACATCAAAAGATCAAACAGAACACGGCCGGTCGTGATGGAGACCATACCCTTGGCACAAAGAGGGAAAACACATTTGTTCCTGATGCTCATGAAAGACATCAAGATGCAGACATACAGGTGTGTGTGTGTGTGTGTGTTTCTGCATTGTAGTCAGTATCACTTACCAAGTCCCAACCAAGTAATACACACACAAAATCTTACAGTTTGTTTGATTGATTTGTTTGTTTTTTTGGAATTATCGCAAAATGAGAAAACCAAAAAATTCTGTTCACCTCCATGTCTATTACTAATAATTATAAAATCACATTTTTTGTTAAGTTATCTTAGGACGATAATCATTTGGTCCATACGCTGCAGACAACTGTAAAAAACAAAAAACCTCCGTGGTGGATAAAAACGGTAAAGTACTGTAAATGTTCTAGTAGAGCAAAAAAAAAAAAAAAAAAACATACAGGAAGCAGGGTCTTTAATTTAGATTCTAAGCTTCTGTTCCACACACTGTGCAGTTTTTTAAGTCTTTTTTTTTTTGTTTCTGTTTGTGAGCCATTAAGTTGATACTCTTGTCTTGTCACATCCTTCAAATGAAGGACTGGAAAAAAGAGGTGAAAACTCACAGGCGCGTTCACACATGCATGGAAATAATTTGATGAGGGACACAGGAGACAAAGAGCAGCTAAAGCCAGAATGATTGGTTCCTGGTCGACACACACACACACACACTATGAATTGCAGCTGTACAGACAGACTCAGAGCCACAGATGAACTCTGACCTCGTCATTGTTAAATGGTTTGGACCTGGTTTGGATGAAGTGAACATCATTACACTTTGAACATCACGTATATGGTTTAGGTTTTGTAAAAACTTCACTTGGACCTAATGAACACTGCAGTCAATTCACTTCACCTTACAAGATGGCGCCGTCCTAGTGGCAGCCTGTTGTAGTACACCTGCGTGTACCTGTTCCCCCCCCCCTCCTCCTTGATGACACTCACTATCACCACCTACAGTAATCCTAAACTGAACTGTAATCTGACTTTTTCTAATCCTAATCCAAACTAAATGTAGAGTCTCACTGGCAAAATGTCCACACGAGGACAACGTGTCATTTCCAGTTCTAAAATCAAACGTCCCCACAACTATAGCTGCACACACACACACATGCACACACACACACACACCTACCTGTTGCTGAGGGAAATATCCTGCAGCTGACTGGTCAACTCCACCCCTTCAGGACATTTCAGCCAATCACCTGCGTCTGCAGTTTGTACCTTGAAAAAGACAAAAGAAAACGCATTAAAGGAGAATAAAAATGAACACAGCGGTGACAGAGTTTCATCAAGACAAGTTGAACAAAATGGGAGCCAATTAAAACTCAACACCAGCAAGCACTGTTGAGGACTCACACGTGAAACTTCTGTTCTTTTGGAAACCTAGGTTATTAATAACTATTATAACAATCCTAGACTTGTGACCATTCACAGAATTCTAATGTTCAGTTCCAATACCAGCGCATTTTCTCTTCATTTATTTCTTCTGTTTAAGAATTGGATTTATTTTTTTTCAAATGCACATGGATTTTTCACTGCTTTTATAAATGGGGTTATTTTCAGAACTCTTGCATTTTAATGTCTCGTGTTGCCATCTTTGTCGTGTTCTGATTTGGTCTCGTACCTGCACAAAATTCTACATCTGGTTCTAGTTCTAATTCTCTGACGACCTTCGTGACCCTGTGTGTAGGTGATGTTGTTTCTGATCCTCTGAAATACAAAGTCAGGCGGTGGTTGAAGGACGAGGGTCGAGAGCTGAGCTGCCAGAAAATAAAAAAATAGAAACGATCCTTTGGTTCCTGCACCATCAGGAGCCACGTGTTGATCCACATTGTCATGTGATAGCGTGTTAACAGGACTTGGATTCACATACACAACAACAGTGAATGTCATGCTGCTTAGGTCATGTGACATCACAGCTGTGTGTCGGACTTCCTGTGTCCTAAATCTTATACATCCTCATTAATCATTTTGATCTGTGACTTTTTTTTCTTGTGTGCCTTCAAACATCTTTTCCTCCTCGGGCTCTTCCGTCTCCGTCTCTCTGTTCTCTCTCTGGTCCAATTCCTGTCCCGACACGTTTGTTGAAACTATGACGTCGAGCCAACGCAGCAGGATGAAAGTTGTCTCTGTGTACAGTGACGTTTTCTGGTCCAGGTGCAGAATGTTTCAAAGGAATATTAGATCATTTCCAAAGCAGACGGGGACTTTTACTATTCAGCTGACTTTTTTCTTTGTTATTATCTATATTCAGTTGAACTCAAAGCCATTTTTGGCCAAAAGGAAAATTTCTTTAAGCTTTAAGAAACCTGAACTTCTATTATTTTTACCCCTAACTTTGAGGTTGCTTTTAGAATAAGGCATTTGTTTGCTGCCTTTAGCTAACACTGAGCTCGTCAACAGGAGAATGAGGGGAAATTTAACCAAATGTATTCATTTCTCACCCCAGAAAACCAAGGTCATCTGAACCAGGTCAAACGTCTATGTTTAAGGAGGTTTTACTTATTCAACTGTTTCAAAACTGTTGTTTAATTTCAACAGTATACAACATTGTTTCCCAAAGACTGGGTCGCGACCCTGAGGTGGGTCGCAAGAGATTTTTTTTTGGGGTCGTCTTGCATGTTTCCCAGGAGGTCATCGTCTTGCATCATGTTTCCCAGGAGGTTGCGAAGGTGTGTGACTTTTAAATATCTGAAAAAATATATATATACAAAATGAAAAACATTTGATTGTGAATGTGATTTAATTTTTTTTTTATTGATTGTGAATGTGATTTAATTTAAAAAAATTTGATTGTGAATGTGATTTAATTTAAATGACAATAAATATAAAATATAAAATACAATAAGAACTGTTTCAAGCTACATAACAAAATGAGTGGATGCCAATGTGTGTGTTTGTGTGTGTGTGTGTGTGTGTGTGTGCGCCCACAGTACTCTCTCTTTGATCTACGCTGACATCATCAACACTGTCACTCTGGTGACACAGCACGCTTGTTACCAGGCAACTGAGGTTAGAAGACGGTGATGCTCACTTCACATCCGTGACAGACACACCTTGATTTTGTGAAAATGACTCAAAGTCGGACAAATGAGCATCAGTTCTGTCAGAGCCACTGATGTCGTGACACCAGATCAGCAGAGAGCGAAGAGAGAGACACGTGAAGACAAAGACCACCGGCGTGTGTGTGACTGAGTGACGCAGCGACGGTTCCAACAACAACAACAACAACAACAACGCGTCAGGACACGTCTCCTCAGGTGTTTCCAACAGCTTCAACTTCCACAATGAACAATTTGGAAATTCGATCAGGCACGGCAGTAATAAAAGTGAAATAAAATCTTTCCAGACAAGTTTCTAAAACTAATAGAACATTTGAAATTAAGATTTTTAGTCTTTAGACGACACAAAGAACAGTTTGTGACCTGGTGAGGAAGGAATTCTCCAGAATCCACGAACCAAAAACAAAACTGTTGCCTGTTCCTATTTGCAGTCGACACCAATGAATGATCCTGTTATTACTAATATTATATGTAGACCTAATTTTGACAAAAAAAAAAAAAAAAACAACAGCTGTCAAAATACCATCTAAACAAAGAACCACAGAAAAGTTTAGTTGTTTGAAATTTCAGTCATTTCTTCAGGTGTGCCGCAAATAGTCGTTTCAACATGAGTTTTTCAAACGCCAAAATCTATCTGTTTATTTTATTTGATCTACTCTACCTGGGGTATGTTGTATAAACTCCATCCCATGTCTAACATGTATATCTCAAACGTTTCTATGCTCTCCCCTTAAAAGTCACACATTTCAAAACCAGAATAAAAGCTAATTAGTCATTCGCGTTAAACCAACCAGTAATGCGTCTGTTCTCAGCTGGAATCTGGAACAGGTCACAGTAATTGGACACACACTGCGACATTTTGGAGAAAACACCACGAAATGTTTGTGGAAATGAGGAAGGTTCTCCAAGGAACAGTGTGAGATTAACAAGCGGTGTGACAGGACGACGTCAGCAAACCGCCACCGCCCGCGGCGGCAGCGGCGGCGGCAGCAGCAGCAGCAGCAGCAGCAGCAGCAGCAGCAGCAGCTACACTGTGCTCCTCCTCATGGATTATATGTGACACAGTTTATCCAAAAATACTACAGTAACGTGTATTATATTTGCTGGACAAGGTAACGTGATCGTCAGGGACGTCACTGAGCCTGACTGAATACAACATGAATATATAACAACAACAATAACAACAACAACAGCAATAACATTATTATTATTAATAATAATACATATCCAATAAATCTGTTTTATAACCCCGTCCTATGACCCCCCCCCAGACCCCCTCTCACCCCTCAAGTCTTTCCAAATGGCAACTGTAAAATAATATGTTGATTTTTTTTTTTTTTTTTTAATTCAGACAATTGTGATTCTTTCTGCCTCATTCGTCCCTTTTCAATTTTCCAAGCTATTAGTGGGATCTTTGATTGAGATTAGCCGAGGCCCGGAAATCAATGAAAGATAATTAAAAAAAGCCTTTGTTGAAGGGCAGGCACTTGTTTCTCTGCCTCTCACTGTGTGTGTGTGTGTCTGAAGGAGAATGTGTGAGTCATTGTGGGGGGTTTTTTTCGAGTGGAAAGAAGTGTGTGCTGTCTCCTGCTGCACACACACACAGACACAGACTGGCTCATTGACAATGAGATTTGAGAAAACTCAATTTGGTAAACGCAGAGAATATGATTGATTTAATTTTTTTTTTCCCTTTCTGTAAAAGTTTAGCAACCAGACTCTAGTGGAAACAGTGTGAGACGAGAGAACAACACTGCAGAGGGTGAGGGGGGAAAAAAAAACTTTGACATTCAAACTTAGAGCTCTGAGAGAGAGAGAGAGAGGGAGAGAGAGAGAGAGGCTCAGGGTGAAGAGGAGAGGGAGTGAAAGAGAGAGAGAGAGTTCACATCTCCATGTTACTGTGTCTGTTAGCTTAGCAGGTAATGAGGGAGCTTGCACATGAGGACAAATTTGTAACAGCACAGAGAGGAAGAGGTAAAGTCTGTGAGCTGATGTGTGACAGAGGAAGTGTGTGTGTGTGTGTGTGTGTGTGATTGGATGTAATTAGTGAGAGAAATCACAAAATAAACACACGTGTACACACACAGGCACAGAGTCAGAGTCCTGACTGCAGGTAGCTCCCAGGCACAGCCCTCAGTCAGATGGTGTGATGTCAGAATGACAGCTGACCTTGTGTACCACACACACACACACACACACACACACACAAACTATTTTATGACCCTCCGGCAAAAGAAAGATATTAGGAATGTACTTTACATAATTCATGGTGGTCTGCAGTAAAATCAGCCAATTTATTTTGAAACTTGGACATGTTGACTTTCAGACGGATTTTTTCGTCGGACTCCTCACTCCAACAATGCTTGGCTTCAACTCCGTCCAAACGCCGGAGCCGCTTCTGTACGCTCCTGCAAAGCCCTGGGTTTTTACTCTCCGGTTACATTTTTTGGCGTCCACTATTGACCGGGTTTCCTTTAAATAAATAATTTCCAAACAATCGGGCTTGACATCTTGAGGCTGGTTAACACTGGGCGACTAAAAATTCTAGTTTATGGTCAGAGAAGAAAACAAGTACGGAGTGCAGTCTCCTGGCGTCGGTGTCAAAGTGAACCGCGTACTTTCCCAGATGGTGCAGAAAGTGTTTCCTGAATGTTGGCACTGATAGTAAATCTTTTACTGCAAATTCATCCAATATGAATTTATTTCCTTGGGAAGCCGAGCTACAGAACGCAGACCAAACTTTCAGGGATTATTTCCTTGGGAAGCCGAGCTACAGAATGCAGACCAAACTTTACAACAGTGGTTTTTCTGATGCCATATGTGTCTGGTCCTCAGACTGGACTGGCAGTATGTTTACAGCTGATATAAAACCTCAACAAAAGCCATTTTAAAATGTGGGTTTTTGGATTTAATAAACAAAGTTTGTAAATGTTCAGATTACAGTGGTGTTTCATGTGTAAATGATACACCTCCAATGTTGTTTCAAGTTGTTTTTTATGCCAATATTTCACGTGTTTTCTGTCATGATCTATGTCAGATTCACTGATATTTTAAAACACCTCATTCTCTCTGTCTTTACAAGAACAGTTCTAAAAGAACAATACCAACGACGCCACCACCAGGTTTCACAGGAGGAAGACTGTTCTTCTTCTTAAATCTTTAAAATATATAGCAAAGGATAAAACTCTTAAAATCTTTCTGCCAATATTTTCATTCCAAACAAAGATCCAAATGATTTTATAAAAGGTAAAGAGTGCAGCAGTACACCTGCAATAACCACCTGAAATAATATATTTTTTAGAGTCAGATTAATTGAACACGTGCCTTTGGTTTAAACCCTGTGTTTTCAGGGCTTCGTCAGGTCAATCACTCTGTTTTGCTCTCTGTTGTTGAATCTTTCTTGACAACGGTCAACATTATTATTGTTGTTGCCCACCTCACCTTAAAGAACTGACGAAACCAAAGTTCCCCCGTAAAAAAAACCATCCACCGCGTGCCTCCCGTTGGCACTTCGTTGCCGCTCATCTTTCAGGACAGGAAACCGCTTCCTTGTCTTTTCTCGTTAAAGTTTGTTGTCACCGTTACCGGGTTCAGTCGATTCTATTTATAACGTTTGGGAAACAGACTTCTCACTTCATCTTCACTCGCTGCAGTACATGCTGAGAGTCAGCGTCTCTGCCCTGTACTACAACATATTTGGAGTATCAGACAAAATTTGGACAGACACTCAGACAGTGACAGGCTGATATAAACCTACACGCTGTCTCCCCCTCCTCCCCCTCCCCTCCCTGCGTCTCCCTCTCTCTCTGTCTCTCACCTTCTCTCTCCCTCCTTCTGTCAGTCATGTTCTGCTGAAACTATACTCTATTTTCAGAACACGCAACGCAGAAAGGCCTACACACTGTCTGTGTGTGTGTGTGTGTGTGTGTGAATATCCTGGGCCTCATCATATGTTCATTGTCAAGAGGCAGCACTTATTATTTCAACATCTTATTTCAATCAAACATGTTGGGCTGACCAGTACAGACAGGTGGCCCACACACTGTATAAATATACATGTGTGTGTGTGTGTGTGTGTGTGTGTGTTTCACACATGTCCATGCCTCTGCCTCGGTGTGTGTCGCTGCACTCACTCACCAATCGTCCGATGATCCTCAGGGTCGTGCGCTGTGCGCGGGTGGACCGCGTGCGCGTGGTCGTCCGCAGCGCGTGTGAGAAACTTTTCAGGCAGGAAGGCGACAGTGGACCGTGACCTTGACCCCCGTACAGCTGGACCAGCAGGGACAGACACTGGAGAGACTCCTCCCACACCTCCTGGTCATCAGTGAGGAGCTGCAGACGAAGACAAGGCCTCAGTCGAAAAGTCCTGAGAAATATCGGTATACATACATACATACATATAATATATGTATATATATATGTATTCCTGTATTATCTTAAAATACAGATATTGAAATTTTGTAGATATGAAAATACTTCAAGCAGAATCTACTGATTGATATATTCTATGAAACCATATATATGTATATATATATTCTATGAAACCATATATATGTATATATATATTCTATGAAACCATATATATGTATATATATATTCTATGAAACCATATATATGTATATATATATTCTATGAAACCATATATGTATATATATATATATTCTATGAAACATATATATATGTATATATGTATTCTATGAAACCATATATATATATGTACATATATATACTATGAAACCATATATATGTATATATATATATTCTATGAAACCATATATATGTATATATATATATTCTATGAAACCATATATATGTATATATATATATTCTATGAAACCATATATATATATATGTGTATGTATATATATATGGTTTCATAGAATTAACCAATCAGAAGATTCTGCTCGAAGTATTTTCATATTTACAAAATTTCAATATCTGTATTTTAAGATAATACAGGAATGCGTTACAAATACTACGGCTGTTGACTGCTCTTGATAGAGTACTGACAAATACTTCAAGTTCCTGTTCAACACTCACGGCCGTGAACATTCCAACGGCCTCAGTATTATTTCATTCACACTGACACTTCTGCTCTGTGGATCCTATAATACTCAGAGGGTCAAAGGGGATAAGCAGAGGCCAGGGGTGTGTCGGCCTCCTTCTTAACCCTCTCAACACCCAGGCATGTGTACACACATACACACACACACTCACTCACACACACAGAAGCAGACCCAATGTGTCAAGTATAAGTAAAAGCTCCATTGTGCCCCCTGAGACCCCCTCTACTCCTCCCACCTACCATTCTTTCCCCCATTCTTCTTTATGTTCAGAACTTCCCACAATGCTTCACTGCTCCCTCTCGTCTACTTTTCTTAAATGCAATCTCTTTTAACGAAGAGGAAAGTGATTAGAGATGAGGAAAATATTTTCTTTTTTTTTTTACCAGAAACTTTACTATAAAGACTTTTAAACGCTGTATATCTGAACTGAACACATCTTTACTGAAGCAAAGTAAATTAAATACAGAAACAAAAAAATCTTTAACAAAATAAAAAAGTCAAACTCATTAAGAGTTTTTATTCAGTCTTTAACTTTTAGTTAAATAGTTATATTTCCAGATACATTTTAATGTCAGAAGAAAAACTGAATTTTAACAAATACAATACAATTTTTTTTTCTTCTCACATGTTTTTAAGTTGCTGATACATCACACACTTTGCTTGGTAAACAATTAGGTCTTTTCATCAGGTTTTCCAGCACTGATTAAAATAAAAACCTGAGGAAATACTTCAGAGGAAACTTAATTATCTAGTGTGAGGTCATTTCTCTTTTTCCCGTGTTTACTTTTACCAGCGAGCCGATTTAGTGACTCATTTTGATAAGTTTCGTGGAGCATGGTATTATTCTGAATCAAATAAATTGGCCAAAGTAAGTGAGAAAAAGAAGAAAAGGAAGAAATGGAAGGAAATTAAACAGAACGCACATTCATAAACGACTAAATCTAATTTAACGATAAGTTGTTAGTCTAAGATCTTTGGTGAGAAGGGATTTACTCAAGTCATTCAATCCTCAGTAGTGTGTGTTGTTCCAGCAGGTGGGTGTGATAATATTTCCACATTTGTCTCAGATCTTATCTTTTCTTCCACTTTACAGATCGTATCCTGCTCCATTTAAGTGCTTAACTGCATCAGACCCTTTTTTATGCAGAATTATGGGATTAATATTTATACCAAGTGCAGAAACATTGTTTTTTTTTTGTTATCAGCTTTATGGAAATGCCAGGTTAGGTACTCGCCAGGTCTTGCCTACAATTAAATCAAAAACCTTAATCAAATTCTCCATCAGAGTATTTATAAAGCATTTAGCATCTCAAAGTGATCCACACCCACGCGCCGCAACACAGGAGGAGAGCAATGAAACAGAAGACAGAAGCAGGCGGAATTTCACAAGTGATTTTCCATCTTAAGTTAAAAAGAGAAAAAAAAACTGAAATGGGAAATCAGGGCTAAGATAATTGATGATGTAATTAGGTTAATGGATTAACAAATGGTTAGATTACAGTAAAAACTCAGGTAAGGATTAACAAAAGAGTTTAGAATTGAGAATGTGTTAGAAAGAAGCAAAACAAAACAGAAATTGAGAAATGCATTCATTCTAAGAAAGGTTTGATGTTTATGAGAATGTGTTAGAAAGAAGCAAAACATAAAGAATGATAAAACAGAAATTGAGAAATGCATTCAAGCAGAAAGGTTTGATGTTTGTTTAAAAGATTAAAAGTAAAACAGGAGAGCTCTGTTTGAGTACTGTAAATACTCAGATTTAGTATTACTCTGTTGTAGTAACAAACACTGTTCATGTACGCACTGATACTCAGATTTAGTATTACTCTGTTGTGTACGCACTGCACACACATACTGTTTATTAAAATAAATAAACATTACTGTGATGATACGGAGGTAAATCAGTGTTTTTCTTCACAGGATTTTTATTTAAATAAATACATGGGTTTAATGCTAACAACGAATCAAAACTGTAAGATTTAAACTACATTATTACTAACACACATATATATACATATACTGTATATATATATATATATTTATTGTATACAGCCTATCTCCATCTTTGCATGAGCATTTGTATTACTTACTTGCATCATACATCCTGAGTTATTCAACTTTCCTCTGTGTAAAACTTAGCTTTAGACAACTTGGAAAAACACAAGTTGATCGGCATGTTTTCTCCCATTTTTATTTATATTTTTATTTTTTTTTTATATCCCTGTTTCACTTCTTCTGCAGAGCAGACACACACACACACACTCACTCATTGACAACACACAGGCTGGAGGAGTGTTGGTCTCACCATGTGAATGAGGTGTGTGCTGAGTTGGCTCAGGGGTCTGTTGGCTAGGAGCACTTTCTCTGCTGCCTCCATCTCCTCTGCTGGACAAGATAGCCTCTGGCTCTACACACACACAGAAACACACACACACACAGACACACACACACACACCTTAAATCATTTATAGAGATTTGACAGTCAATAATGATGGATCCAGAGACCTGCCAAGACAGATTCTGACAGCCTGAGACAGACACACAGAGACACACTGATAGACTCACTATGGGAGGAAGTCGTTTTCCCTCCATATGATGAGTTACTTCTGAGTTACTGTAACCGTTCTTTAGGAACACACGTGCTGTGAACGTCACACACACTCGGCAGTGTAATTTAACTTCCTGTCTCTAAATTGAAGATTTAAAAAAAACACCCCACGCTGAGAGCAGCCTTTTATATTTTGATTTAACTTCCTGTGTTCTCCACTACGTAAACCACAGGCCCCAGTGTGTCTTCATGCACAGTAGCTCTACCTGTGTGAGATTTCAGAGGCTGTGCTGTCCAGAATCAAGAGGCAGTCCAGCGCTCTGCTCTGACCGCCGACCACGGCCTTTTCTGCTGCACTCTGCTCCTTTCTAGTGTTCCTGCTCCTCCTTCAGTTCAGTTCATGTCCACGGTTGAACTTCAGGCCAACCAGCAGTGGAATGAGATTAATACTGGCAGACAGTTTCTCTGTCTGCCAAAGTTACTTGTGCTTTGTTTCCTCCCCTCTTTCTCATTGCCTTTTTTCCCCCCAAAAGCATATATAAACTCTCTCTCTCTCTTGTTTCCTCCCCTCTTTCTCATTGCCTTATTTTTTTCCAAAAGCATATATAAACTCTCTCTGTCTCTCTCCCCCGTTCTCTCTCTCTCTGTCTTTCTTGACAAACACAGTAACTGTTGGGGGGGGGAGTGATCTCGTCACGTCCTCTCCTTATCAGACCTTATTACCCAAATGAATTTGGTTTAGGCAGAAGTTTTCTTTTTAATGAGCTTTGCATTTCTTGCAGAATTGATTTCCGCTGCACATTCAGCGCGCTCCCTCTTCCATCTCGGTCTGACTCTCCATCCTTCCCCTCTCCCTCTTCTGTCCTTCTCTCTATCACTCAGGGTTTTTTTTTCTTCTTCCCCTGCCTCCCCTTTAGCCCCCTTTCCCAGTTGAAGCATTAATATGTATGTTTTGGGTTGGGGTGCACACTATGGGGAGATTGGGGCTGGTGTGTGTGTGTGTGTGTGTGTATATGTGAGCATATGTGAGTGTGTGTGTCTGTGTGTAGGGAGGCAGGCTGAGGACAAAGCCAGTGGTGATAATGAGGCCGCAGGGACATTGCCAGACAGGCCCCTGAACGCACGCCTCTGAGTATGAGTATGTGTGTGTGTAAGTGCATGCTCCTGTGTGTGAGTGTGTGTGTGTGTGCGCACACGTGTCCCAGTAACTTGGGACCTTATCCGCTTTCTCCTGTGTCCAGAACTTCAATATCGCAGTGGCTTACACCTGCTGGCCTCCACAGAACACATCAATGGTCACACACGCACAGACAAACCCACAGGGCACACACTCATTCACACACACACACATTCACACACACACAGGCGCTCTCAGGGACATGATACAAGGACAGTGTGTGGTGAGAGAGGGTTTTTGCCTTGTAACTGAGTTGTGAGTCTGAGCTCAGCAGAGATGAAACTTATAAATGTTGGTGAATCAATGTTGGAAAGACACAGGACTGAGAACATTCCTCTCACAGTCACCAATAATAAAAAGAAATAGATGCAAACACAGGGGGCGCTGTTGCAGCTCAACGGGACTTCTGTGCAAAAACTTTTAAATGTGCGTTAGCGAGATGTTTATTCGACTCTGACTTGAGGGCATAATTGTCAACATTTACACAATTTCTATATTGATATTGAATTGATCAATTTAAAGGAATCATAAATAATGTGGTGACAGCAACTAATTAATAATTTAATGTGAAAGCAGAAATTAATTTCCCACTCAATATCTGTAGGGGGTGCCGTAAACAACCAGAAATACCTTCAGTGCAGAGCGGACGATAACAGATGTTCGCTTTAGAACGTTGTGAAGCAGTTCCAGAACAGCTGGTAAGACGAGCTGGTCGGTCTTCCTCACGTGACCGTCTCCACTCTGGTGGGTCACCACAGCCTCAGACAGGGTCTTCACGACCACCTCCATAAGGCCTGTGCAGTGGACAAGAGGCAAATGGAGAGGTGGGTCTGACTGATTGGCTGGAAAATGTGGAAAAATAATTAACTATATGCAATATATATATATATATATATATATATATCTTAACAGCCCATGCTTTTGGGCTGTTATTTCATTAAAATGAGCATCCAATTAGCAAAGAAGAAAAACTCAAGCAGCCGGTTTCTCCATGGTTATTATAAAATTTTGAAATCAGCTCTGCACACATTTCTTAATTAATGAGCTAAAATATCATTAACAGTGTTCAAGTGAAGCCAATAGGAAAACAAAACTCTTTTACTTTCTCTGCCACATGTATGTCAGGCTGTAAAAAAAAACAAAAAAACAATCTGAGTCTGTTTGACTGTCAGAAACCGCAGCCTCTGGTTGGACGGCTTAAAGGAGGATGGATAGACTCTGTGAGATGAGAGTTCACTCCTGAATCAGTCCATTAGCATTTCACTGTCACTCATTTACCCAGCAGAAAAACTGACGCTGTGTATGACTTTTCACGACTCAAAACTGAACTTCTTTACAGCTGATTTATTTCATCCTTGTTGTATTATCAACCACATCTGATGAACACTTGTGGATGCGCTCTTTCATCCAAAAAACAAAAAACAAAAAACAATGTCACGTAAATGATTTTAAAAGCATGTAGCCTTTAGTGAAGCCATGAATAAATATAGCCTCGAAGTGAAAACTCATGTTCTTTCCTCCATTCAATTTTAAAGTGACACAAAAAAATCCTGTTTTTCGCTGGTGTATCTGTCTAGTTGGACTCTGGGGAGACCCTGGGGGTTTTGGTCATTTAAATTACATCTGCAAAGAGATTAAACCTGCTAAACTGACCTGATATGTG